CATTAGAAAAAATTGAATTACTTTCTTTAAAACTTTATACACTTAACAAAAAAAATAACTTATTTATAAAATTAATGAATTACTTTATCTAATCATAAAAAAAATATTTTTAATATTTTTTGTGGTAATTAATTTTTTTTAAACAGTTAAGTAAAATAAATAATATAGTTAAGGGTATTTGATACCATGATTTTCTGTCTTTGTTTAACTAATGTGCAACATAGGATTTTAGCCGCGTTTTTTGCCAAACATATTGATTGATCTAGTGAAGCGATAAGAATTCTGAGAACAGATATGAGTTTATCTTCAAGTCTACTTGAGATCAATTTTCCCACATTTTTCAATTTAACTTCTCCAAACATTGAAATATGATAGTTTTTTAATTACTCTTTTTTAATAGGTATGGGAAAGTTGATCTCAAGTAGCCTTGACAATAAATTTAAATTATGTTTATAGAAATCTTATTGCCTTATGAGATCTTTTGGTGGGTTTAGTAAACACACCTCTAAAATTCTATGTCATGTGTATTAACATACACACAAAGACAAAGATAGAAAAACATGGTATAAAATCCTCTTAGGCCTTAATACTTAAATCCTTTATATTTAATACTCAGCAATTTGTCCATGCCACATAAAATACATTTATTTAATAAATTTAAATTTAAATTTTAACTTTTTTAAATTTAAATTTTAAGTTCTATATTATGATCTAGTTAATTATTGAAGTTTATAGTTCATCTGGAGAAATCAAACAGTTAATTAACTTACACTTGATTTCCTTTTATAGTACCTACCTATGTAAAAAATAGTTAATTGTTTTCTTTAGATTCAAATTTCATTTGTCAATTTATCATGTTTTGATTTATAGAAATTGTCTAGTGTAATAACTAATTATTTTTTAATTTAAAATTTAAATTATAGTTTACATAATGCCAGTTAAAACAATAGGTATCGGTTATTATATGTATGAATCTTATTTTAATTATTGATAAAGATAGTAAACTCTAGTAGAAAAAATTAATATACAAATGTACAAATCGCTACTTTTTATTTGATCATTGATTTCTTGTACATATACTAAAATATTATTCATAGTTGTAGTAGGTACATTTAAACTTAGGGAATTAGACTACCTAATGACTAATTCCCTATGTTTTGATGTAATTGCTGATTCCAATTTTATGTGTTTTATATGCAGTTCTCAGCATTTATTAAAGATATTTTAAAAGTTAACATTTTATTTTATTATAAGTTAATAGTTATTATATTTGTTTTTCTAGATTAAATTTGAATCCTTTACGACGTTTAACAATGAACTATTTGGTTAAAAACCAAAGTCGCCAATTTGAACTCAATATTTGTGGCCGTCTAACTGACAATAACAAATGTGGTGGTAATATCACAACAATATGCGACATAACTGATATCAGATATCCTAAAGTGTATGCTGTTGGAAGTCATGCAAACAGCCAACTTCTGTATGATATAGATAGTAAAATCTTAAAATTGATCCAATATGAAAAAGCTGTTAAACATCAAAGTTTGTATAGCAAAATAAATATTATCATGAAATTTAGGTAATGCTTTTAATTAAAATAATTTTATAAAATAGAAGGTAGAAGAATTGAATTAATTTTTAAGTGTGATGAAAATATAGCACCTGAACATACTAAACCAAAATATTTAAATGATGAATATTACCAAAGCAAAACAATTTCTCCTAATATTTCATATTTTGAAGTAGCTACATCAGCTGTTTGTATACCTAGGATAATATTATGCGAAGTAAGTATTTTTTTTTCCGAGTTCTATAATATTGTCAACCAACTTGATCAGCCTTATGTGGGGTTTTTTAAGGTTAACATATGACATTATAATATTTTTACCGCATATTTATAAACTATAATAAAGTGGAGTAGGTATGATTATAATTTATAACATTTAATGCACCAAGTGTCCAAGTCAAAATTTACATGCATATTTTAATTGAAAATTATAAACAATATTAAACATAATATAATATAGTTAAATGAATTTGTTTTTTGATGCAAGTTTAGTGTTTTATAAGCATTTATATTTTAATAATGTTTTGTTGTTTATTAATATTATAAATATTAATTTTATTGCATT